ATATCTGAAAAAGAAATGAAATATACATTCCCCTTAAGGCCCAGATTCTGCTTCTGGAATTGCATCTGAGCAAGAGAAGCCACACGGGATAAGTCCCAGAGCCAACTCATTTCCCTCCCATTTTGAGTTTCCCGTGTTTATGAAACAACCAATCATGCTACTTTTTTTTTGAACAGTTGACTGTCAAGATAGTCCCTGAGGACTGGATTCTGAAAGTGATGGAACTTCTTGTCATCTGTGACTGAGCAACTGCCTCTCCCCCATCAAGGCAAAGCTAGCCAGGTGCAGTGGCTCACGTCTGTCATACCAACATTTGGGAGACTGAGGCGGGCGGATTGCTTGAGCCCAGGAGTTCCAGACCAACCTGGGCAACATAGCAAAACCTTGTCTCTGCCAAGAAAAGAAAAGAAAAGAAAAGAAAAGAAAAGAAAAGAAAAGAAAAGAAAAGAAAAGAAAAGAAAAGAAAAGAAAAGAAAAGAAAGATTCACTAAGTGTAGTGCTATGTGCCTGTATCCTTAGCTAGTCGGGATGCTGAGGTGGAAGGATCGCCTGAGCCCCGGAGACCAAGGCTGCTGTGAGCTGTGATCGTCACAATCATGCCACTGCACTCCAGCCTAGGGAACAGAGGGAGACCCTGACTGAAAAAAGAAAGCAAGGCCTCTGGGAGTCAGAAGTGAGTCTGCTCATTCACTCACCCAACAAGCATGTGTTGAGAGCCTCGATCCCATCGGTGTTGAGACGCACATGGTCTCTGTCCTTACAAGCCTTCAGTCAAACTTGGAGGCAGACCACCAATAGGAAACAAGCAAATGAATACACATTAGGACAAAGGCGTGAAATTCAGTTACAGAGAATAAGCCGGACAACCTGCATCAGCTGAGGTCTCCCAGAGTAGACGATAATTAAACTGAGGCCTGAAGGCTGAGAAGGCATCAGTCATGCAAAGATCAAGAGAAGGACATTTTAGGCAGATCACTAGTCTTCATCGAGGAAAGCAAAAACACCTTGGTGTGCTCAGTTTAGTGTTCAGAAACAGCACCTCCACTTATGAAGGAAAGGCAGTGTATGTGGTTGGAAGATATCTGTTCCTTCCTAGAGAGAAATAAGATAATCTACTTGTAAGGAGACTTGTGAATATTTTGGTTGAAAATCACACGTAGGATCAAATTATCCCAAACGTGCTTTGTGAATTTCCCCTTAATCGTCTTCTGTCTCCGAAATTCCTAGCCTCCGCTTCAAAATTCCTGCCGTTCTTTGGAGGCCTGGTCCAGCCCTGCGTCCTCATGGAGCTTCTCTGACCACTCTAACCCTCTGCTGGTTGTCTTCTCCCAACTTCTCCAGCCTTCTATCCTCCTGCATGAGCTATCTTCTAAGTATTCTTTCCTTCCATGGGTATGTGTCTGGCTCCTTTCTAGGGTTTAAGAAGAAGCATCTGACATCACAACCCAAGAACTGCTGTTTCCTGTAACACTGGTTTAAACAGGGGTGCGCACAGCAAGTGGATCTCGTCGCCTTTGGGGGGCTGTGGCTGTGCCCCTCAAAGTGAATTTGGAGGTTCCACATTCCCTGTGGCCAGTTTGGCCTGAGTCAGACCAGGGCCCTGCAGAGGCTGGGCTGGGCAGGAGAGCGGGGTGCTGGCAGGCTGGTGACAGGAGTGTTGCCAGTGCCCAGGACTCAGCCAGTGCGGCTGCCTGTTTCTCCCCCACAGACCAAGACAAGGGCACCCGGCACTGCACTCGTGCCCATTCCATTGAGATCATGAAGGTAGAGGAGACTGCAGCCAGCAAGTGCCACTGGCGTGTGATCAAGCAGTTCCACGACTCCAAATTTCCGCTGCCCCACCGTGTCCTGTGTTGCCAGCACAAGTCGCGCTTTACCACCAAGAGGCCCAACACCGTCTTCTAGGGCCTCCTGGCCCCCAATAACCCCAGAACACCCAGAAGGAAAAACAAAGAAGAGGTACCGAGTCTTTGTGTCTCAGCCTCCAATTCTTTACCCAGGGTCTGACACATCAAAGTTGCAACGCTTGTTCAACAAGCAGTTTCAAATCAGAGTAAACTACCCACTTACCTCAAGAATTATATACAGCCAAAATCCAACATAGCCAAAGGACTCTTTGAATGTTGAGGGTTTTTTTTGTTTTTTTTTTTTGAGTTGGAGTCTCACTCTGTCACCCAGACTGGAGTGCAGTGGCCGCTCCCGGCCACCGCAGCCTCACCGGCTGGGCTCCGGCAATCCTTCCGCCTCAGCCTTCCGAGTAGCCGGAATGACAGGCATGCGCTACCATACCCGACTGATTTTCTGATTTATTGTAGAGATGAGGTCTTGCTGCCCAGGCGGGTCTCGAACCCACGGGCTCAGGCAATCCACTCACCTCAGCCTCCCAAAGGCGCGGGATTACAGGCTGAGTCACCGAGCCCAGCGGTTTTTTTTTTTTTAATGGAGAAATTTGAACAGATTAATATATAGATGAATACATACAGAAAAACGTAGTCATGCATATTCTTTCCTCCAACTGAGAACCTTAGTCTACTTTCCATGTAAACAAAAGCTGTAGTAAGATTTCCTCAATCCAAGCTCAGGGCTAGCAGTTATGAGAAAATCCCCAAGGCTAAGAACAAATCCAAAGTTAAATATCTACCATTTCAAAACAAGCAAACAAACAAAAAAGCAAAGGTCTAATTATTTTTACAGTACAAAAATTTTATTTTTTTGTTAGGATAATTTAAAGTTTAAAACTGAAGTAGACATATTCATTTTACAAACAAGATATTCTTTAAGTAAGACCATTAAAAACAGTAAACAAAAAAGCTGTCTTTACAAAAAGCTCTGTGCATAGCAACTTTATACTGTATATAACTGACAAAAGCAAAACAATAAAATGAAACTATACAGTTTGAAAATGAGACCTTACTGTACAAAAGGTAGAGAAGATAATGGTTTTTAAACCATGCATATTGAAATGTGCAAAGAAAAACTGAGAAGAATTACAACGCTATAACCAAAAAAAAAAAAAAAAAAAGAGATAAATAATTAAGTAAATTGTCCCTTTAAATGAAAAATTTTTACACAGCTCCTCTTACAAAGATAGGATAGAATTTGTAGTTACCTATAGAAATACTCGTATTCCAAGTGGCACAAAAATAACTTGGGACTGGAATGATTCAATAGCAATGACTAAAGAGGAGAGGGTAGCTTTGTTTTAATTGATTAGTACACTAAAAATAATCCTTACACATATTTGTACAATTAAGTAGATCTGTTGCTGCCAGGGTTCTAGCTGAATGGTCAAGGATGTCTGGTATTTAGTCACACACATTTTTCGGTGTAAAGCTACCAACAAATTCTACAATCATTTTGAAGACAGTACTGCACTCATCGTCATGCAAGAGCAAAATTCACAGGTTCTAAAAGCAATGCTACTTAAAAAAAAAAACATTTCCTTATGTTGGATTGGCTCAAATCCAGCTCTAAACATGCTTACTTTTGTTCTGCCTTCGCTTTGGGATGGTAATGTTTGTATTCCACACATTCTTTCCTTTCCATGAGATTTCTCACTGGGAAACTTTTTCTTGTGTGTTTCCGTGTATCTTGGCGCCTGAAGCCCCGACTATGAGGGACTGTCAGCAGTAGTTATAAGCATGCCAGGTTTCCAAAACCTTGGATTCTCGTGTGCATAGAAATAATATAGGTCGTGTTGGGTAATTCCAGAATGGATTGAAAGCCAAAAGACAGGCGGGGGGCTGGATAGGTGTAGACCTCTATCAATCTGGCAAAGAGAAAGGATGTAGACTTAATGAAGTCATCTAAAATGGGCTTGGAAGTGCTATTGATGCATTTCCGTGAGTGCTGCATTGATTTCTAATGCTGGAATGCCAACCAAGAACCCCAAACTAAGTCTATGTATAAACTACATGGTGGTGCCGATGAGTCAACGAGGAGAACCCTGACCTGGAAAAAACTAACAGCCTTCCCGGAAATCCAAATAAGTCTGGATACGTCTCCAGGATCACACAGGTTTTCAAGAATCAACCACTGTTCGCAGCTACTGTAAGTATTTCCCCGCTAAGAGCTAGTCACAGAATTCTGAAGATCCCATCAGAGGGCTGCAAAACCGAGCTGCACAGAACACAGACACCCCTAAACTCTGAATCTCCCAGGAATCTAGGTTCCATTTCTTTCAACATCAGGGGAAGGACTTAGGGCTTTAAAACTTCCTCTTCCACACGCCATCTCATTCTTGCCTGGAAATAGTGTCAAGTGGGATACTTTTTTTTTTTTTACCCCCAAGAGAGTTTAACACTACTAAAGGGGAAATTTACAGAAAGAGAAAAGGACTTGGACGTCGTCTAAGACTGACTCTTAAGAGTCCATGAAACAGCGATATCTTCTCCAAACCCTATTGCTAAAGTTCTTTGAAGTCTCATACCTCTGTACTGAACAAAGTAACCAAAGAGGAGAAAGTGTGTAGTACCGGCAAGGAAGAATTCCAAAAGGCCTCCTAGGTTCAGAAAGTCAAGTGGCTTTGTCTCTGCTTGAAGGTGAGATACTTCTTTCTTGGGATGCTCAGAGCCCAAGACACACTAAAACATGGGAATTCTCTGCATTGCTCAGAGGTGAATGTTAATAGCTAATATGGATTTTTAAAAAATATTCACCAAGAGTGAATACCAAAGGGACATGGAGAGTATTTAGAAAGCAGATGGAGCTGGGAATGAATCGGTGGGTATCAGTAATCATCTAGGTGCATGTGTCCGAGTCTCTGTTTCTGCATTAGGTGGCTCTGTAGGAATCTACATAAGTTACATGTTCTTGCCCACGGGTCAATAAAATGATGGAAAAAGAGGGGGATGCAGGGTGGGGGATAAGAATCTAGTAAGTAACTGCAGTAATAATCACACACCTTTAAAACTTGGTACTACATCATTTTCATTTTACATCAGGAAGAGAAGTTCCTCTCTCTTCCAAAAAAAAAAAAAGGTCTTAATTTCTACCTCTACTTACAATAAGTTACACGTTTATTTATTTAAATAACTGTAAAACATTTTAAAATTTTTCCCTTTTTTGTTTGTTTTTTTTTTTAAGAGATTAAACTATAAGCAAACACACATACAACATTTCGTCATTCAATTCAGGTTTCATTTTAAGAAAGTCTTCCATGCTGGTACCCTGTTTTGTTCAATTTTTTTTTCTGCATAAACTAAATTGGTATCTGAAAGGCTTCATAGAAAATAGAAACTTTCAACTTTTTTTTCCTACAAAGAAAAACAAATAGTATCCAAAATATTAAGCATTAATTGTTTGCCAATTTTTTTCTTAAATATCTTACAAACATAGGAAGATGGTTTTCATAATGTTCATAACAAAGAATTGCATTTCTGCTCTTAGCACTATGTCAATGACATCTTTTGTCCTTGTCCCCAAGAGGGTCAGTTTGTGTAGCCACCATCAGAACCATAGGAGGACATGAGACTGAGTAAGATACCAGCTCTTTGCAGACCCAAGTGTGTTCATCGTGTTCCTGTGGGGGTGCAGTTCTCCCCGCAAAGAGCTCAGGGTGCTTTCCTCATCATTGGTCCATCAGAGTAAGTAGTTTTGTGCTATCAGAAAGCAGTTCTTTCTCTTCTTTACATTGGGGGTACAACAAGTCCGGTCATGGCTGCAAGGGAAGAGTGGTACAGGAGTAAGAGTTGGAAGCTGTTCACATGAAAGGCGATGACACAGAGGGAGGCAAGGGATGGGAATGATGGGGTCTGATGCCATCCAGGGAGACGGTGCCCTCAGCTGACACAGAAACTGATGGCCTAGGCTTGGTCTAGAACACAGCCCACAAGAGGCACTGAAGGCTTATGGAATCACTAAAATAATACAACCAAACCTTTTGAGCTTGGCTTGCAAGGCTAAGATGTATGTTTCGTTTTATATTAATGGGTTGTATATAAATGAGATAATTGGTGTAAACATATAGAGTACATTGTAATAGATGGATTATATATATATATATATATATATATATTTTT